TTTAAATATATTTTGACAGTGAGGAAATTAGATATTTTTACTTAAAGATTCCCAACAGGAAGAAGTTTAATGCTTTAATTGAAACACTCAGGAGTGTTTTTTTAATAAAATTTTTTTGCTTCTCTCTCGCCCTCTGAAGTAATTTGTAACATCACACATTCCTTTGAACATGTTTCTCCCACTGCAGTGATTTCTGCATCAAAAATAAAAAGATGTAAAAAAGACGGAGAGACTTTTTGCATTTTAGAAAAGAGTAACAAACATTTGAGAAGCTGAGATAAGTATGTGTGTGTTTTACAGAAAAAACCTTCAACAAATACCAAGACAGCACATTAGGAATTATTGGTTTGTTGATTTATTATTTCAGCATTAATAGCTAAAATTTAGTTGTTAAAATAACGTTCTGCAAAAGTTCTGGCAATGTTTTCATGAGACGTTCTCTTTAATTTACTAGGATGTTTTGATTAAAGATGGAATAGCGAAGGTTTGGTGATAACGTTGTTAGACTATTATGCTTTAGTGTTCTCAACGCTTGTTACACTGAGAATGTTCTTCCAATGTTCTCCCAAAACATCCTCAGAACGTTACAAGCAGAATGTTCCACCTCTGTTAACAGGAACTTTCTCATAAAGAACGTTCTTTCATCTGAGGACCAAAAAATATTTTTTGTATGTTGGTTTGAGAACGTTCCTACATTGTTATAGAAGAACATTCTGAAATGTGTTACGTCAACAAAGTCTAATAAAGAACTTTGTGGTATCTGAGGTCCTAATAACATCCCGAAGACATTTTTTAAAAATGTTGTGTTGAGAATATCCTTCCTTTGTTGGAAGAACGTTCTATAATGTGCTCCTGCAACAAAAAGGCAAATGTTCCACTTTTAATATATCACAAAAAACAAAAAAAACATTCTGTCTTGTTGAGGGAACACATTGTAGAATCTATAAAACGTTCCCACGATGTTCCGCAGCGTTACATGATAACAAAATGCAACATTCAAACAACATATTCCAGATCTCAGATGTTCTATATAAGTGTTCCTGTACTGTGATACAAGGAGGGTGGAACGTTCTGCCTTCAATGTTCTAAGGATGTTTTGAGGATGTTGTCGTGGGAACACACTGTCGAATCTGTAAAACCTTCCACACGTGACAACAAAAGAAGAACGTTCTCAATACAACTTTCCGCTCTGAGAACGTTAGGGCGTAACGTTCTAGCAGTGTTCCAACCAAACACTTTTGGAACAACTGTAGTTGTCCTGCCCCTAAGAAGAACATTTTGGAAACTAAAAGAAAACATCAGTAGAACTTTGCAGAACTTTCTCAGCGTGTTTTTTGAACAAAGAAATGTGAGCTCAGCTGTTATCCGATTCCTGAAGAACGTTCTTTCCTTATCACAGGAACGTCCTCTGAACATTGCAGCTAATATGTTGCATGTTAGTTAACTTTTAACCTCGCAGAAACATTATTTGAAAAGATAAATATCCCTAAAACATTCTGTAAACATTCCGTTAAAACTTTATTGAACTTATACGTGATGTTGGCCAACATTGTGGGAACCTTCTCGTCGTGAAAGAACTTTATGTTTCACTGATTTTCCTGAATGTAAGTCATCGTGTTTGCGTCCCCTGAAGCTCTTAATCGTACTGTAGCCAAACACTGTGAACTCATCCC